CATACTGCAGGCTGAGCCCAGGCTGTTGAGCTGCTGTTGCTTCCTTATTGTTTTTTTTTTTTTAGTTTTGGTACTCATTCCTAATATATGGGTTGGTTCATCACTCAACACTGTACAACACTGTAGTAACCATCACTGAGCTCTTTAGTGACCCCATATATTATAGGTAGAGTATCTTCCCTTAGGCTAAGTCTTTTTTTTATACAATTGTAATTTGATTAATTAATAAGCATCCACAGTATCATTTCTTTCTTCACTTCTCATCTTGTTTTCTCCTGTGTTGATTGTGGCACATGCATCATCAGAATCAGCACAGATCAGTTTAAGTATTGGGCATGCTGACATAAACATGCGGATGATGTACAGATGTATTTGCCACTGAGGGGAAGGGACGCATCATCAGTTCAATCACTATTGTCATGTTTTGATGACATTAGGAAGTGGATGACCTTAAACTTATTGAAGTTGAATGATACAAAGACCGAGGTTATAGTGTTTGGTCCAAATAACTCTGGTGATTTCCCCCCAGTTGATTTCGGTTCCTTGGAACGGTACGTGTGGTCCACCGTTACTAACCTTGGTGTTAAAATAGACTCTGATCTTAGAATGGAATATCGGGTGAATGCAGTTGTACGGGCCAGTTTTTATCACCTCCGGCAGCTGGCAAAGGTGAAGCCCTTTCTTTCACGGCAGCATTTTGAGGCGGTAATACATGCATTTATTACGTCTCGTGTGGATTATGTAATGCGCTATATTTTGGGCTCAGTCAGGTCGCCCTTGCCCGCCTCCAGAGAGTCCAAAATGCTGCTGCTCGTCTATTGGTTGGAGGGCGTAAAAGTGACCATATCACACCCATTTTGGCTTCCCTGCATTGGCTGCCGGTGTGTTTTAGAATCCATTTTAAGATTCTTTTATTTGTTTTTAAACCTTTAAATGGTTTGGCTCCTCGTTATCTTACAGCATCGCTACTTCCTTATAGCCCCTCTATTTGAAGACTCATCTGTACTGTCTGGCGTTCGAACCAGTATGATCCTGTGTCTTGTTGAGCTTGTGATTTATGATGGGGGGTTGTTTTAAGTATGATGTTTTTCTTTTGCTGTTCGTTTATCTTGTTTTTTAAGGGGTGTCGTGGATATTGTGTTAAGCACTTTGGTCAGCTTCAGCTGTGTTAAATGTGCTATATAAATAAAGTTGATGTTGATGATGATAAAGACCCGAGGCGTAAATGAGACCTGACTCAAACCCTGGGTCAGATGTCAGGTCCTCAGAATCAAGTGAACCCCCGAAGACCTCTACTAGGAAGTGCTGTTTAAGTAACAAATGAGTGAGTTTAAATTTGTATTACCAAAGCATGGCACAGATTTTTACAATATGTGGAAAGACTAAGTATGGAAAACTCACAGCGGTATTTATTATATATTTTGCCACAGTATTTACAAAGTAAAGAAGTAGTGGATCTATAGAGTTCACATTCCAAAATAACATATGAGAAGTGTGAAATTGCATAAATCTGATTAGCCAATGCAGCACTTTGCCGGGTGACATTTGGTAGCATTCCAATGAAAGTTGAGGCGTGTTTAATTTTTATGTTGGGACATGTTTGTGCTAGAGCCCTCTGCACTGGCACCCACGCTGTGTCGACAGAGTAGCCTCATTCAAATTGATAAGGGGCTGTAGTGTTTTTGTTTCTCCCACACATGACTGAGGTCAGTTTGAACAACCATAGACTCTGTTTGATTGATGGCACCTTCCCTGTTATCAATCTGCTGTTGATAGGACAGCAAACAACCCAACTTTAAGCTAACGTACTCCTATAGACGTCATCAGGCTGCATTGCATAAATGCGTTATTTCATCAGCCAACAGTACTACACATTAGTTTTGTCTTGCTGAAATTCTGTGCCAACAATTCTAATCTGATGCTTGTTGTGCCTTGCACATAAACTCCATATTTCAGCTAGCCTGTGAATTTTGTAAGAGATGATTTACTGTGGTGCAAAGCCTGCAGTGTTGGTGTAAATGAATGTCTCTGCGTGATGTGTATAAGGCTTGTGGCACACTTTATGAAATCAGAGAGAGGTCAGTGCTGTTATTTCTGAAGCAGCAGTTACACCAGTTTGTAATCAGATGCCAAATGACAGAGATGCAGGACAAAAGCTGCCTGTGTCCAAAAGCCAGCATTAGAACCCCTGTCTCCTCTTTAATCCCACAGTACTTAGGGTAGTTCTGCCTCTTTTGTACATGCACAAAAATGGCAGGTGTCACCACTGGTCATGCACAGGAAACATCAGTCTCCCCCGTTAAATAGTTTTTTTGGTCTGACAAACTCAGGGCACATTTACTTCTACTTTATCCAGACTTTAAGAGATGTGCTACACCTGTGAAATTATCACTGAAATACATAGTAAAGGGTTTTTGCCATGTAGGAACCTACCGAATCGTGTGGAGTCGAGTAATGCCCGTCGCAGGTTCTGCGTTTGTTTCCGTTACTGTGCACCCCCTTTGATGGTGTGTTCCGGGAGCAAAATTTCAGAACCCCTCAGGTTGTGTGTGGCAAAGTACCTGGTATACTGCTCGTTAGGTTCCGATAGTGGGCACAAGTGGTCAGTTTTCTTAGCCAAGTGGCTCCACTTCCTGACATGCGTTGTCAGTAGGAATTCATGATTAATAGTTTTTGGATCGCAATCTCTAGTCATACCCCTGTGTTATCCTATTTTGACATGACAACAGTTTTGTCATGTTTGTCAGACTCTCCCCTTTTCTCCCCAGATTGTATCACTCCATCTGACAAATTGTACAGAGGAAACCAGGGCCAATGTGACAGCACCCTCTAGCCACCACACAATAAAGAGCTAAAAGACATGAAGTGGGATATATGGTCTTTCAAAACTGCATATTAGATGGTCAGATACAGTCGCAGCCCCTCCCCCCGTACACACACTAGAGGTGGAAATATTTGGCAAACTCACAGTTCAATTCAGAACAATTTTCAATTCAACAACTATTCAATTCAGCACCCCCTTTCCCCACACCCATTGCTGAGAGTCCCAGTCCAGCCACTTGGTGTTGGCTAGCTCAGTACTGCTAACGTTGTCATGTGCGCATGCTGTGATTTTACCTGCAAGTCCTCAATGTTCCACGGAGGTGGAAAGCACTTGCCAGGCTTCCAGCAGTGTGCCACTCCGGCATTACTTCAGTGTGAAGATCAGCACTCTGCGTTTTCCATTTGCTTATATAATGGTAGGCTACTGTCGCATACGATTCAATTGTAAGCACTGTCCATTCATCTGTGGTCAGACACACCTTTTCAACACTTGTCAAACAATTGTGCAGCTCACATGCCTTATCATGCAGTTTATCCCACGTGCTGTGACAATATTTCTTGATGGTTGTAGTCTCTGCATGTTTCTGCTGTTTTTATTTGGCACTGTAGTAAAGTGATATACTGACCTCGTTATCACGTTATTTCCAGACACTGGTAAATGCAAGGGAAAACAGAGGCTCTTTGTTTTTAAAACCAAAACCATAGTTGCCTGAAATTTTTATTTTTTTTATTTAATGACTGGTCGAATATTTGAAAATCATTGCCCATCCCTAGTTGGGAGGGTACTGTTGTGCTTCCTGGCTGGATCATTGCAATCTATCAATCCTGTGCTACCACCTGGGAAAGCCCCACAGGTTCTCTTTCAGAAAAAACACAAATGTACATCTAACCATTATCCTCCTTACCTCTTTGGCCATCCCAGTGAGGTTTATCTTTAATCCTGTCTCGCATTCCCACCTGTCACCCTGCCTGTACTCTCAGCCTGTACTCTCTAACCTGTGAAACCCTCAACATGGGATCTACTTTATTATTTTGTAGCAGAAATATAAATGTTTACAAATAAGAAGGTAGAGATTATATAAAACTAGATTGTAATCCAAAAACCGGGTCTCAGTCGCTCAAGTCTTTTTAATTGGCGTTAAACCTGATGGTAGTTGCTACTGACTGTTGGTCTTCAGTCCCCTTGTGATATCTTAAAACCAGATTGGTGGAACAAATGTGGGTTGAAGTTGGGGGAAGTCCACTAATCACTGGAATGTCACCAGTTGAGCCCAACACTGGGCCTCTGTTAAATATCCTCCCATGTCTCGCCTCCCCCTAAATCCTGATAAATCCTTGTCTCCATAGTTGGGAGCAGACTGGGGGAAGGGCCACCAGCCAGGCAGCTTAGAAACATTAGCGGGGCTGCAGGGTGGTGCAAGCTCAAAACACTCAGGGGTTTGCTGCTACAGTCTGACTTATTTGGCTACAACAAGTGGCTACTGCAATATAATGTTAACTAACCTACCCAGGTATTGCTGTATAATGTTATTGAATCAGTTCACTGACTGTAGGAGTCCTCTTTATATGTACTTCTTTTACAGTCTATTAAACATGATGACACTGAGTTCCAAAGAGGTTGTGAATTGTTTTTTCAAACAGCAAAAGTTTCAAGATAGGCTTAAAAGTAGGGTGGAAATAGAAGTAGCACAACATGTGTTTTATTGTAACTGTGATTACTTTATTGATACCATTTATCATGTACTTTCAGAAGACTAGGGGATTATTAGCATGTAAATCTAATGTCAAAATTCAGCCCAAACCATTGGTAAACTGCTTGGATGAGAAAGGTGTGGGCTCAATACATATAAGACAAGGCCAAACATAGGTATGTAATACATCATGACCACACAGGAGCACACACTACTGGGTGCAGAGTTGGGTTATTTTGGATAAACACCAGATTTCAAGAGAATGATATGGGGATGCCTCAATGCATTTCGGTGCCTCTGTACTCTGATCTTACATAGGCTTTACTTAGCTTGGGGAAGAAACTGTGGGTGAACATGGGTGAGTCATGGAAGGAGAAATGTGATTCTCTGCATCCACCCCAGTACTTTTCTGTCACAAGCAATGTAAAACTTCATGCACTGGTCCTAGTAATTAATGCTTGGTTCTGTTTTCATCTTGTTTTTCAGGACTCTGTGGACTCTTCCTCGGCAGGTGTTTTTCTAGTTGGATTTTAGCCTACTGACATTCTCCCACAGCCATGGAATCGGTATGTTGATGAATAGCATCCTTCTAAAAAATGTAACCATCAGGCTGAAACTTACATTTTCATTGAAACACTGCTAGTAAAGCACTTTGTTTATAGCAATTTTTTCTTTGTCAATTTGAGTGGTGTCATAATTATTGTGTGTGTGTGTGTGTGTGTGTGTGTGTGTGGGCATTGTTCTGAAATGGCGTTTTATGTTGGTATCAACCATGTGACACAAAGAAATGTTTTGTCTCGCATATTTGTATTCTCTTCAGCTAAGTAAATGACATCATTGCAATAATGGAACATCAGGCTTCCCAGGTGTTAACTAAACAACCAGTGTAGTGTATTGACCCCCCCTTCTTTTTTTTTTTAACCAAGTGAAAACACTGCATGAGGGTTAATGCCACTTTACCCTTTATTGCCAGTGTAGTGGTCAAAAACAAGCAAGGTTCCAGTCCAGAGGTGCACCAGTTATGCAGGACACTACGTGTGCAGTAGTTGCTTGTACCAACTGGCAGGCTGAGAGCACAGCAACACTGGACCCTGTCCACTTGAATACATGTATTAAGAACAGGGCTTAGTGCATATCTAACCTCTGCTTTACCGTCCCTTTGTCAGAGGCTGTGTGTATGTATGTGTATTAGAGACAGTGAAAAGTAGGTCACAGTTTCTGTTGTGCAAAACTAGCACGTCCAACAAAAGCATTACCTTCTGTCTGTCTCACCCACAGTGCGCAAATACTGCCCACTGTTGGTTAATGTAACTGTACTGTACCTGGAAAAATCTGATCATGTAACATTCTCCATGATGCATCTTTATGTCACAAAAATTGTTTTTTATGGCCATACAAGCAAAGTTCCACGGTGATCAAACTCAAGCATTTTATACAAGTCATGGCTAGATAGACAAACCGCTTGTGTCAACAATTACACTGTGTATTAGTGGGGAATGAAATAGCCTTGGCACTGTTGAAATTCACTTTATAGATGAGAGAAATCAAAGCTCTTTTACTTTAAGGTTACAGTCATGAATTGCATTCACTGCAGAGGTATGTCAGTCCTAAAGAGGTTAAAAAAACTATCATCACAAATGGGGTATCATTTAAAACATGCCAGGTCACACAGAATTTTTAAGGAGCAATGATAGGAAGCAAACATGATATTCTATCTTGAAATCACCACAGCAATGAATTTGTGCTACTAAAAATGGCAGCTTACTGAAAAGTGCGGACTACCTATGACCCTGAACAGCTGCAATAGCAGCTCATCCCCCTCTTCCTCAACACAAATGCATCTCTCTTCCTCTTGTGTCTGTGGGTCTGTGGCTATGCACCAGCAAGGGCTGCTACTGTTTACCTCTTCAAGCTGCCTCTATCTGCTTACTGTCAGTAGAAACCATGGCAACTGCTCACAAAGCTTATTATGGTGCCAGGAGTAGAAGACATGTTGGATGTCTCTGTGTGTCTTAACACATATATATACACACACAAAACCTCTGCCACTCTTGTCCCTCTCTTCCTTTGATGCCAGTCACATGGTTTCCAGGCAAGCAGCTCAGTAAATCAGAATCAGACTTTTATTTTTAACTGCTTTAAACCCTCCACCTGGTCTCCATGGTTAGTAGAACTGACTGAGGTGCCTGGTGATCACTCATGTTTTTCTTCTCTCTTTGTGCTTCTCTTTTAATATATGCATTTATTTGTGCCACTTCCTCTCAGCCTCATGAAGCTTATGCCATATCGGTGCACCTGCTCCCTGCCTGGGTTTTATGTGGGTTTGACAGTGTTCTTTTCTGGCAGGAAAGCATGACTAGAAAGCTGCTAGAATCTAGCAATGTAGCAGAATTTAGTGGCAGATAGTAGCCCCTTCACACATACTGTACATTCCTCTGTGTTGTATTGCAGACATGCTTGAATAACACTCTAGAGCAGAAGCTGTTGCATAATAAGCATAAAGTGTTTATAACATGACAAGAAAGATGTCCTACCACACTAGGCCAGAGAATCTGCAAAGGCTGTTTCATTGAAGCTTCAGTATAAAATCTTAACTGTGCATCTACAAAAAGTGTAACAACCATGTATAGCATAGAATTTTTTAGAAATATCTGTCATAAATATATAGTTTAACTGTGATATATGTGGAACTGCAATTATGGACCCAGACCTTGTTTGAACCATGACCACATTTTATTTACCTGTTGCAAATAGTCTGGTATGAAAAGCCAAAGTGTGTTGAATGTGTTTCATCATCTTCATGCAAGTGTCATACACGGGCTTACTGTGTGAAATGCGGTCACCTCTCCAGTAGCGTAGCCAGACAACAACAGTGCTCTTATCACTCGGACTATAGTACTTTAGCAAATTAGCTCCACCCTTTTTCAGACACACACTGACACCCTGAAATTACCTAGAAATTACCCACAGGGGCTGTATGTGAGAACAGAAATCTTTGAGTCAGTTGGCCCAGACATTAAACAGACTTAACCCTGCCAGCTCCCTAGTTTAAAGTCCAAGTGAGCCCAATGTGAGAATACAACAGCTTGTAGCTAGTGGGCATGTTCTTTCAGGTGACTGGTATGAAATAGGAAAAATACAAACATCCAGTGGTAAAGAAGAACAGTCATTTACAGTGACCACTTCATATCCTGCCTCCTGCACGCTCTACCTAGGCACCCCCCTTTCTTTTATATAAACCAAACAGCATTTCCAGTAGTGGAGAACATGTCTGACATGCATTATGTCCTGTTGTGTGCTGTGTATTTGAACAGGCAACTCTGGACTAAATCTGGACCTGTTTCTTTAGACATTGTCCAGATTTCATATGTGAAAACTGTTTCTCCGTGTTAAATTTGGTACAGATGAAAGGTTTAATTCTTGTAGTCGCACCTTTTCCACTGGTTCTCTCACAGCTCCCCTTGTCTCCTCCTCTTCCTCTAAATCAGGGCTTGTTCCTCAGTGGGGATTAGTGTGTGCAGCAGCTCTGAACAGGGATGTGGGCCCTGCCAGTCACATTACATAACTCGCCCCAACTAGTGCAGCTCGGCTTGGCCTGGCTGGATAGTCGACTATAGAGGCTTTGTTTTCTCAACCTTCCCTTCTTCCTCCCCTCTGCTGCTCCCCAGGCCTCCTCCTCCAGACAGACTGCATACTGATGCTGTATAGAAGAAGTCTGTTTGCAGGGAACAGGCAAGGCACTGTGGAATAGAGTGCAGAGAAGTACGCTAGTAGCAAGCTGAATGACGGGGAGCTCACATCTTATGCAGAGGAATTTGTGGTTCGCCATAGGCCGTACAGTTTAAGGGAGCAAGGGAATGCAGTCCTGTGCTTTACTGCCTGCCCAGGGGCTCCACATGACATTAGATTTCATTTGAGGAGTGTTAAGCGAGATTTATGCCAGATTTCTCAAGGTTGACAGGTTGTATAAGATGGTTTATAAGTATGGCTAATGCTGTGTTTTTTGTGCTAGTTTTCTGTGCTGTTCGACTGCACACACACACAAAACTCACTCGTCCCCACCTGGCAGTCTGCCACTGTTATTAGGGTGGGAGTGTTAGGCCAGTGTGCTATGTGTAATGGAGGTTCAGACCAGTTAGCATGCTGAGTGAGTAGAAGTAACTCGTAGGCGTGAGAGTGAAAAGGATAAATAGCAGTGCATGGCGGTAGCTTTATACAACATCTTGCAGCACTGAGTCCCCGGCTTGGTCTTTATTTCTGCACTTTTCCTTCTGTGGAGTGGCAATTTTACTGCTGAGAGATTGCAAAGTAGTAGCAGTGCTTCGATTTACCACATTCAGCAAATATGTCACAAACAGATATTTGTTTCATCTGGTTTTAATCCATATCTGTAAGGTATTGTACTAGCATGCTTATAATCAAGGTAGAGCATATTCAAGAAATTGTCTAGCTTTAGTCTCATGGCAGCATATGTGTATTTTCCTCCATGCTGGAGATTGTTCCTGTACACTACCTAATGTGAGCCCTGCACAATAATTGGGACATGTGCAGGGTGTTTGCTCATGAGCTGCATACATGTGTTATTTTGTTGGCTAATTATTGTGCGTAGATTTAGGTTTCTGATAGGTGATTCTGGCTGGAGTGTGTGCACTGCACTCACCCCAAGCTGCGCAGGGCTCATGTTATTACAGGAAAACACTGTACGTCATTATAAGGAGAAAATACAGTATGTCGTAATAAGAAATTGTGAAATGTGAATGTATCTCACTCCTTCACTGTCACTTTTCAAAAAAGCTTCCAAATGTCTTCAATGTAGGACTTTGAGACAGTTGAGCACTGTCTCTCTCTAGTTAGCATTTGTATACTACTGTATCTTGGCTTCAACTGTGCATTTGAAGATGGCTCAAGCATGCTCACAGTGCATCAGTCATGAGCCAAGTTCCTATCAAAGAGTAGCTGCTTCTGCAAAGACTGTGTTTAGATGTGATGACTAATTTTAGAGCTGCTAGGCCCTTGTCCAAGGTGGGGGAGGATAACGATAACACTGATGTTGCCCTCTCTCCTTACAGTTTGATTTTGTTTGTCCATCCAATAATTCTCATCTAGCTACATCTGATAGACATCATCCTACCACTGTGGATGTTGTGCACAAATACAGATGTGGCTGGTGTTAAAAATGTGTACAAATACAGATATTATTCACATTTTCCTGCTTTCAGTGGCTTAGAGTTCACTGAGAAACACAAGCAGGGACACAACAGACGTGGCTAAAAATGTCGATACATTTCCACTTAGAAAAGAAAAACCAGGTTCACTCTTTGAAACAGACAAAAGGAATGGTCATTCACTCTTCTCTTGTCTGTATTTAATAGAACAGATGTTTCTTTTGATTATTGATATGATGTTGTTGTAATTAATTCACCAAATGAAAATGCCATACACAAAAATATTGGAGCCATGAATCTAATACATTGAGCCTCAACCTTTTGAGGTAGTGTTTCTTGTGACTCTTAATGAAACTTCAGGTGATAGTTTGGCCCACTCTTCGTAAAGAAACTGCTCTAAA